TCAGCAGAAGTCTACATCTGCTAGTTGCTCCTATCCATTGCCTTCCTCAAAGCTAACATACAAAAAGTCTGTCTGCACCTGCTGTGTGAGCAAAGAAGGGAACTTCTACCTTTTTAAGAAGTGTTTAGTGCACACAATGCAACTTCAGTGAAAGTAACTATACAGAGAAAAAGCAGTTCCCTTCTTGAGGGAAAAGGATGAAACAAGAATCTGTCTGGAGTTCTAGCCAAATTGTGAAAAACAGTCAAGGTGCACCTTAATTGCACAGGGACAGAAGCAAAGATTAGATGTGCACCGAGGCTGTGACTTCAGATTGATTCAGATCGACTTAGGGCTGTGCTGCTGCCAAAGCAGGCAGCCCAGCTCCCACCTATCTTGCCATCCACACTCCTTCCTTCTGCTGCCACTAGCCCTCGTCTGCCAGGCAGACCAGAGACAAATCCAGCTAAAAACTAATCCTTTTCTTCCTGCTGTGCTAGCTTTACTTTAGCACTGCTGAAAATAATCACACCCTCAACATTTGAATAACCTCAATGGACAACTCCTTCCCCTTGAACGTTTGTAACGGAAGCTTACGCATTTTATCGGTGACAGAAGCATAACAGAAAGTGTAGGAAATGCCTAGAAAAGGCATTTCCTGCAGAGCACTTTCATCACAAGCGTCACTTTTGTGCTGAGGGCATGGTACATATACTCTTCAGAAAACCCAGCTCTTCCATGTTACACAGACTAAACATTTTAACTGTCTTTCAATCATTCAGCCCAGAATTGCAACCTATTCATTTTCCCAACCACAAAGAAGATTCACCACACTCAGCCCTTCTGAGCTATCAGAGTGAATGACAACCTTAAACTCTCAAAGGAAGGAGAACATGTACAGGAAAAAGATAACTCCAACTATCACTTCCTTCATGGAAACCAGTCCCAGCCAACATCAGACATAAGCCAGGCAGTTCACAGGCAAGACTCTCTATGGCAGTGGTATAGCTGTAACACGGACAGCTCATCTGCACAGCCACAGGCAAAAACCAACAGCTCTTCTGGACAGCCACACAATTTCTCAAGGCTGCACAATGCAGGTTGCAAAGCTCAGAGGACCTTGGCATAGCAGCAGAGATCTCACTTTGAAAATCAAGAAAGACAGTGCTAGCGAAGAGTACAGAGGGCCTCTCTGGGTGACTGGATCAGGCTCTCCAAAAGGCAGACACAGGCACTGTGGAGAGGAAGACGACAGCCAAAAGGAAGCACGGTATCAGACTCTTCTGAGCAGAAAAACCTATAGGGTAGCCTGCATGATGTTCCTAGAAGTTTTCAATTGGCACTTGAAAATCTCCTTTCCTAGTTCTTCCTCTGCAACCTTACTTCTGATTTGTGATACTGCAGCAAAAAAAAAGGAATGCAAACTCCAAGAATTAACTACCTCTCTGCACCACCCCTCTCCCCAGAGAAAGCAAAAGCCATGTACCCGTATGTTTAGGGATTGTGTGGACTGACCAATTTCTGAGGATATGACTTAGGCACTCAGCGGTGCAGAGCCATTTTCTTTTTGCTAAAGGAAGACTAAGTGTATTCTGCCATTGCTCTCTCCGACGTGAACTTGGCCTGGCCTCCAAGAACCAGGAGTGGATCATCATCAGTCCACTCCATAAACCTGGAAATGTTCTATTCGCACACATCTCCATCCTTGGGAAATTATTCCCTGTCAGGGTTTCCACCCTGTTCCCATAATTTTGCTTATTATGTGCTTATTAACAGCACATAAAATCATAGCACAAGAGAAATGCCACAGAGCACGTTACTTTCAGTACAGTGAGCAGTTTAAGTTCTTGACTCCCCTGACTAGAAACCAGTGAAAATAAATGTTCAAATACTTTCCCCAAAATCTAAAACCAAATAAAAATATAAGCCTGACACTCTGTGAAACCTTAGCTTACCCTACTTTTTTGAGGAGTGAAATGTTCTCTTGTCAGTTATAAGTGTATCTCCTCTAAACACATGCCAGTGCTGTGGAAGACTATCAAAACGTTAAGTGCCAGCATTTCAACTGAAATGTTTCTGCAACCAACCTTCTCTGGCAAAAAGGAAGCAAAGCCAAATTTGCAGCAGCTAGCCAAGCTAACTGCTAAAGCTCCAACCCTGAAAACACTTCAGCATAAGAGTAGCCCCAGTGGCACACAGGAACTCTGCGCACGGTCAGAGTCCAAACCACGACAGATATTCAAAAGGCCCCCGCCTCCATCACTGTAATGTCTAAGCATCTCACCAGATAATCATCAACCGTGCAATACGTAACCCCCATAGGACGGGAAGGTTACATATAGAGGGGAAACACAGCTTAGAAATGCTAAGGGGACAAAACCCACAGGCTTGCAGTTTCTGTGGTTTCAAAGGAGGAGTCAAACTACTGCATTAAACAGGTCACCCAAGGCCATATCTGACATCTCAGAAGAAATCTTTGATAGAGGAAAGAAACAAATTCCAGTTTGAAGAGTCTTCAGCTAGCAGCTGATTAACTGCAAACAGTCCTCCTCAGAGTACCCCTCCTGCCTTTGGCTGGAGAGCATCCTGGTTTCCTCCTTGACTTCTGATTTAATGATCATTAACAAATGGAACTGCTGAGAAGGTAACATAGCTTTCAAAATGTAACACCTGACTCATCATTCAGCAAGTTGAAAATTAAAAATTGAGATGATCAAAAAGTTAAGAACAAACATTAAAAATAAGTTATTATAAAACCCTTCTGCCCAAGCATCTACCCTTAAGCTCCAAATTTGAGGCTGAGCATCACAGCAGGATTTTTGTCCCTCCAGCTTCTTACCTCCGTTCCTCTAAGGTCTTTGGGATAGTAAACGTCTTCAGTCATTTGGACGCTTAGGCCAAAATCCACCAAAACAGCCTTAGTTGACATAAAGACAATGTTGCTTGCTAAAAGAAAAGCAAAAATGACAGTATTTTAGCTTCTAGCCTGCTAGGAATTTATTTTACAACATGACCGTTTCATTTAGATGTTAGTCTGAAACGGAATATTAGCACAACCCATCCCCACGGCTTACACAGTCTTTCTACTAGCCAGAACAGTTCTAAATTGTATCTTAGAAATCAAACTGGACTAGTTTGTATAAAAGGAGAACCAATATTTCATCATTTTCCTCATTTAAAAACAAAAAACAGGATAAGGGGATTAAAAAACAAAAAAAAAGAGGGTAAGAGAGGAGGCTGGAAGACTGGTAGACCCTTTCCTAGCATAGCTACTCTCCTGCCCGGCTCTGATGATCTTTCATGGTCCCCAAGGCTGACCACATGCTGCACAGGTCTTGCTACGAGTAAGCATAATTCTTGGTCACCAAGAGACTTCTTTATACTAATAATTTAAACAAAGACAGAACTAAATAGAACTCAAGCCCCTCCACAGCTTCCACGTCAGCCTCTTACATGGATCAGCAACAGTGGCTCAGCGTAAAGACAGAAGCTAGACCACAGCTGTAAAAATAACAAAGACTGAGACTTCCAAACTCCCACCGAGTTTCAGCAGTATCTAGGAGCTTAGTTTGCTTTCCTTCATAAATCTCTGCCTAAGGCACAACTATTTACTCGGAGGCTTTCTTTACAGCTGTATGTCTGCTCAAAGATTTAGGAAGATAATGCTCTGTATAAGCCTTGAGAAATTCGTGAATATTTGTTGTTTTAGAAGTCATGGACAAATAAAGTCTCCAAATTACACAACAAAAACATAACGCTCCCCCTAAAGGAACCTGTGGGGTCAGATCATTTTCTGTGTTGATAGTTATTCATAATTTTTATTAAATTTTCTTTAGGTAAATTAAAAAAAGAATCCCCATTCACATGTTTTCACATTTCATTTCATCCCACAGTCTAGTCATACGTGCACATGCAGAAAGCCTACCCTTTGCACTTAAAAACAGAGTTCCAAAAAGCATTTTCTTCTCAAAGTAAATTTTGTCTACCAAAAACATAATATGCAAAAGCATGCCCACCAGGACCATACAGTGGAAAGAAAACAGACTTTGATTTCAGCTGCCCTGTATCCCAAAATATTCTTTCAGGTATTTGCCTACTTAGGAGTTTGTTATCTAGGTACTACAAAATGATGTAAATTAATTTGTAATTTCAGGCACAATTTTAAAGATACAAATTTTTAACACTACATACGAGACGATGCGGAACGTAACATTGTCATAAGTGCAACAAGTTCTGCTGTATATTTAAATTGCACTCAGCTCCAGCTTCAGTGTGGGAAACAGTAAGAGCTTGAAGAGTTCTGTTGAAAAGTATCCAGCTATTCTTCCTTTTGCCATGACTGAAAATACCCAAGGCTAATCCTAGGCTCGCTCCAGCAAGTGGATGTGCAAACTTTAACGGACTTTGGACTAGGTCCCCCCACCCACACCAAGTAACCTTATGATTTAACAGCTTCCCATCCAACGGCTAAAATGAGTCACAGCACTGAGCTTCTCCTAAGAGCAAAAAGTCCTATCTTTCAAGGAAATCTTTCTCTTGCTGAAAACCCCAAAATCCTCCTTTGTCAGTAGAACAGAGACTCAGTGGGAGAGGAGACGGACAGGAAGGGGCCAGAGATGTTTGAATCGCAGCCTTTCCATTGATTGCACCTGGTGAGGAAGAAGGAGCAGCATCCCAGCTTGTCCCTGCCAGGAGAGCCCAGTTTCCTCCGGCCGGTGCAGCCTTTTCACTCCGGTATGTGCTTAGGGGGCACCGGGTGCCAGTAAGAGCCCAGGCTACCCAGCTCGCATCATGCAAAGCGGCTCCCTGCAACCACACCCCCAGGCACTCGCGTGGCCTGCCCTGCGTTTGCATCCAGATGCCTCCGGGAAGCCTGAGCCTACAATTTCAGAGTCAGTGGGACCTAAATCCATGCTTCTGCCAAAAAAGGGTGCTCAGAGAACTGAACTGCCCAAAAAACAAAGATTAGCTGTCAGGCAGACCGGTTCTCTCCTCCGCCTGCCCGCACAACCACACGTGTGACAGCAAAGGTACCAGAGGGAAGGTGGGAACGTGGGTAAAGAGGAATCGCGCTGCCAGCGCCAGCACAGCCCGAGGGCGGATGAGGCAGGGCTCCCGACGCGCACGGGCAGCGGGGCGAGCACCCGGGACACTGCTCCCTCCAAACCCCCTCGGCAGCGCCGGGGCACAAACTGGCCACAGGTCACCAGCCCTGCAGCCTTTACAGAAACGCACCTTGGAAAACTCCCCAAATTTTTCCTGAGAGACATGAAAACCAGCCTTACACTCTCTTTTTGTCCGGTTGACTATAGGCCTTTTTGTTTCTTTTTCAATTCAATTCTTTTCTCGCACCTCTTCCTCCTCTCCCTGCACCTCAGACCAGTGCAACACCTCACCACCTCACGTCCCAGGCTTTGCTGCTGACAGAGGGACGTGGCGGTGGCCAGCCCCCCACTGCTTCTATCCTTCTAAGCCAGCAGCAGCAGTGACGCCGAGTAATGCTTGCAAACTTGAAAGGTACTAATGTCTTCCCAATTCCCAACACGTCAGCTCTTTTATCCACTCTCTAGATGTAGCAGGATGGGTTTTTTTCTTGATTTGGTTTTAACCTTTTAATTAACTCCATTATTATGCCAATCACTATACATTGGTATGAAAGATACTTATTACAAGTGAGAAAGCACAACTGAGGGGAAAATTATTCGATTTTATAGTTGCCAAGGTTTCAAAGGCTTATTTCTAAGTACTCCATGTTAACTTAAAAAAAAAAAAAAGATCAAAATTTAGCAATTCCTGATATAATCATCTTCTGCCACCTACTTACTATAACACTTTAGTTTGAATATTTCTATTTTTAGAAATATTGTTTAGCAAAAACGAACTTCTAAAACAGATGCATCTTAATTAGAAGCACTGCTATTGAAAAGGCAGGCAGGGTACATCCACCTGCAGTAAGGATGGTTGCTGGGAGAAACAGTATTTAATATTAAAGTGTAACACATTAAAATTTAATTTTGATGTGCAATTTAATTTTACTCTATTAAAATTTAGGTGTAGCATCAATAGATTATTGAATATTCATACATGTTAACATCTGGAAGGGTTTTTTTTGCATAAATATATATTAAGATTTGCAGTAACTGTTGAAAGCAAAAAAAAAAAAAAAACCAATGAAGCACGTTACATATTTAGTTCCAAAGTGGAAACGAACTGAGGAACAGGCACACAGAAACTCAAAACTATTAAAATAAGAGGGTACAAGGGGAAGGGGGGCAGGGCAACATTCAGCATAAATTTACAATGAAGAGAGAAATGCCTTCCATAAAACCTACTGATAATTTTGCTTGGTCTCTTTAGGTTTTTATTTCAAACTGAGTTGCTCAAGAGGGGCAAAGGAACTGTGACTTCCAAATATCAGTCTACTAAAGTGAACAAGGAGAAAGCGCAGACAACTGTTATCCTAAAAACCGGATGTTGCTATTTGTTGAACATCCCCCGGTTTGTCCACGCCTCCCTCCTCATGACACACCTACCGCAGTACCAGGCTCTTTACGGGAGCTCCAGCCTAACATGGGACACCCTGAGCAATGAAACACACGTACGTTTGATATCATGGTGGATAATCCTTTTGGAGTGGAGAAAGTCAAGTCCTTTCAGGATATGCTTTGTCACCCAAATGATTTCAAACTCTCTCATAGGCCCACAGCTCTCCAGCTTTTCCATGACAGATCCTCCCTCTCCAGCTTCCATGAACAGATGGATAGTCTCATCCCACAGAATAGCACCGTATAATTCAGCAATGTTTTCATGACGGAAACAGGCTTGTATTTCAACATCTGACGGTTTGAACTGTTCCACTGGGACCTACAACATTGAAAAAAAAAAAAAAAACACATGAAAGCAGGTCCAAAAACAGGCTATCTGTACTAATACTGGTTTCCCTATAGATTAAAATGGGAGAAGGAAGCAAAGCACCTCTATCCACTTGTTAAAATACGAAGCTTAATTTTGATCCTGTGACTTGTTCTTCCTTTCCAATTCAGATACATCCTGTTTAAAGCTGAGAGAGTTTTTGGAATCATGCCCAAAGAAAAAGTGCAGTCTTCCAGAAAAAGCAATGTAGCAAGAGCTATTCCCGTCAAAATCTGGTAGTTACGCAAAAGCTCTATGCAAACTTCCTGGTGAAGGAGATAAAAATCCCACTGCTTTTTCAGCTAGCTTTGTGCAGTCTCATCTGCTCCGCAAGAACGATACACTCGTTTGACACGTGGAACAGTGCTTGCAGTAAAGAAACGCGCAGCACAGTCTACCGGCTGACTGTATTCAGGAGCATTATTGACCTTGGTTAAATCCGGATCAACGCTGCTTTAGGGGTTAGGTGAAGTGAAGTTTGCTTTAAAATGAGCACTCAGCAATTCTGTGCTTCTTTAAAAAGTACTAACGGCAGATAGCTAAAACAATAAAGGGCAGTGTTCGCTTGCAGACAGAAAGCTTACTGACCATGCTTTTCACTTCCCTCCCCTCAGACTTGGGGTTGTGAACCAATTAACAGGTTAATACTTTTATCATAATGCAAAATACTGTTTGCACTTCTAGAAACATCAGGGAGCTTTAACTCTGCAGTGTGGTTTGCAGGAGCGGCACGCTAAACCTGTCGCCATGTGGATGCACTGGGCGCAAGAGGAAAAGGATATGCAACTGCCTCCCCCAGCTCCTCACACACAGAAGCAATGCAATGCAGGTGCTCATCCAGGTGTGCTGGGACATTGAGCACCGCTCCACAGCTGAGCTTCTGCTAACACTAAACATTTACTACTCAGTTCAGCAGAGCACTTTGAATGGTAAGGCCGAAAGAAAACGGTGACTTGCAGAAAAACAGGGAGATGCTCCTCAGTAATTTTCTTCAGGCATGTCACAGCCTTCTGCCCAGTTAGGGCCCAAAACTGGATGAGACTCACGCGTGAGCTGAGCTCTCAGAGACTTTAATGGCAGTGGAATAAAGAAAACTTAATTCTGAAGGCCCCAGTTAAAGGGCGAGACCTAAAACCATCTGCAGCAACAGGGTTCAGCGGGGACAGGATTTCATACCAGTGTTTTACGACAGCGAGCACTGCAGAGATTGTACCCTGGAGCTGTAGCCGGGCAGCCAGGCAGCCGGCCTGCCCACATGGCAGCTACAGACACCTGCAGCTACTTTCAGCATGCTGAAACTTTTGAAGTCTCAGTTCCAAACAATGAAAGCAAACGAACAGTTTTTTTTAAAAGTGCAAGTCCAAGGATTAATTGTAGAACATTTTTCCTACCTTTATTGGCCTTGGTAGGCCAATAAAACCAAGGTGATAACCAGGTAACGACAGAATGAGATGCTGACAAATTTCAAAATACACTACGTGTACCGTATCATACAATGTTTGCTCAGAGATAAAACCACTGAACTAACATACCAGCTTGCATGCCATTCGTTTTTTGGTTTCTCTATCTTGGGCGAGGTACACCTTCCCAAAAGCTCCCCGAGGAATAAAGTCAGAGCCAATATTCCTGTAAGTCAGCTTCCACGGGAACAGGAGCACATCCGAGTCAATCTGATAGCGCCCATTCTTGGGTGTGATCTGTGAAGTAACAAGAAAAAAAATCCACTGAACACATTGAAGTTAAAGCTACTTCAATGCTAATTTGATACGTGTAGGGGGGGGAAAAAAAAATCACTTATATATGTGTATGCTGCACGTGCTCTGCCCAGCAGTCTTTATTTAGAAACAGCAAATGGGAACAGCATGTGAGGTGTGGCATTCATTCACAGCCCAGGCATCCACGTCTCTCTCCAGTGACTAACTCACAAACTGTAAGTCGCAATTAATTGTCTTGAAACAACAACAACAGCAGCAGGGTTAATGAAGTTACGCACCTCTTGTTATTAGATCTACCTGCACACGTTTGTTCTTCCTGTAATCTGCTAACTTGTTATGCCACATACCTGTTACTCACAGGCTATCTTACATGAATGACGCGAGCAAGGGTTTCAGCATTTCCTAATATCACATGTACTCCTGGGGGAACACTTCTCTGTTTTCCATCTTGTGTCAGAATTTCTGCTGCTTAGTAAAAGGTAAAAGAAGTCTGCTTCAATTGCAGCAGCCACTCCGTTACACTTTTACACCCTACCTTAAAGAAAGGGCAGGAGTCACACTGCCTGCTTTAGGCAGGCAACGTTAGGAGTTTAGGTTCTCTATACTGCCAACAGGGTGAGGAGGGCTCCTCCAAAAAGCAATTCAGAGCATCTAAGTGAGTCTCTTGCTCTGAATCTTCCTCTAAAACAGCTCCTTCCCCTATGCATGACAGAGGGAGACCAAACTCTTAGCTACAGCAATGTTAGTACTGCTTTAGGTTTAATATTATTCCCTAAGTCTTTAGGTGAAAAAAAAAAAAAAGAATTAATAACATTACTTGTGAATATGTTTCTAATTAATCCATGGTATACAGTCTTACCAGTATTCAGAACGTTTACTGCTACTTAATCAAGATTCTTAACTCAAAGATATGTAAATACAGACCAAGGACATTTATCACTGCATGTCTTCACATGGTCTCACGTGCTCAGCTCTTCAGCTGCTTCCTAATGCTAGGAAGATTAGAGTATTGCTTTTAGATTTCTTTCTAAGATATCATGCACGTAACCTCCCTAATGCTTTAATTAGCTTTGTGTTTTTCAATTAGGAAAATAATTGACAACTAAAACTGTCATTTGTGACTAGTACCTAAGTAAGAAAGCTAACTCTTAGAAATTATGAACTGTTGCTAGGCTGGGAGGTGTTTTATTTTTATTAATTAACACTTTCGGCTTTTAACACACCGAATGAGCCTCCCATCTGATTACGAGAACCAAGGTAAAGCCTGAAACAATCCATGCCTCTTTCCTGCAGGCTTCTGTGTTTCAAAGGGCTGAGATCAGCTGAGCCACAGGGGCTACATCTGTTTTGGAAAGTAATATAGACCGACTGGAGTGGATTGCAGAGCGAAAGAGAGTCACCATTGTCACACTATTCACATTTCAGGAAGGTTTATTATGGACAATTTCCTAGCCTGGCCTTGTGGAACAAACGCTCATTTGCAGCTGGAGAGCATCTCCCAGTTTAGTTTCAACTAAAAGAAATCCAACTTGTGTGCTCCAAGACCCTTCAAATTTGAGCTGCAGCATGGTCAGTGGGGATCATCAGGCAATCACAAACATAGGCCTGATCCTAAATAAATGCTGAAGATATTTACAGTGTAGGTGCAGCCACTGAGATGCATCTAAAAACAACGCCCTGCCTCCAGTCCTCAGTTGCCCAATGGGTCACGTGTAGCTAATAATACTTGGTTCATACCAGTTGTATGCATCTACAGAAGTAATAGGCAAACCAAACAACCAGGAGTATGTAGAACAGTGTCCTAAGTATGGGAAACATTTAATGCTAGTAAGTGTCACTTCAGTATTACAGAGTTTAAAAAGCGACTGTTTTCCAACACTGCAATATCCCCTGCAAGTAAGAGTAAAACAAGACTTTGCTATTTGACACAAGCAACCAATGCTCACATAAAAAACATATTGCATAGAAGATATCCAAGATAATTGATTTAGAATATATTAAGAAACTAAAGCAGAAGGCAAAGATGTTTGCATAAACTTCCATTTCATGATGTTTTGTTTCCAAAGCAACTGATTTTTAACAGAAGTACAATAACACTAATTTCTAATGATGCTTGTGCAACACAAAATATTTTAGGGAAAAAAAGAACATATCTCAAAACAACATATCTGTGCTAGTATGTAGCAGTATATGATATTATATAATATAGTGATTTGAAAGTCAGAGTTGATACTATATGCCATTTCTCTTTGTATTACTGCTTTCTACAATATTTTGTCCAGAGAGAGTGAGTGAATTCAGCAACTGTACTAAAACAGATCCTAAACCTTTACCTGGGAGTTTTGTGTAACAGACTCTGTTACCATATGGACACAAGGCACTGGAAAACCCTTATCATCTCCCAGGTCCTTCCTGCATGCCACTGCACCTGCAGCTTTTCTCTTTTACTGCATGTCTCATGTTTGTCTTTACTGTTGGGAAGCGTTTTCTAATCTTCAGGGATACCAAGAGGTAAACATACAGCAGACCTTTCTGAACAAAAGACCCTTTTCCATGGGTACCTGAGACTGCAGGGGCTAGGCTTGATGGCCTCAGAGATGCCCACCAGCCCCATGTTCCCGTAGGAAACGATGTTCTGACTGTGACTTCTAAGATTGGAGGTGATCTTTGTTTAGATTCATGAATCACTTCTATCAACTAATAGTAACTAACCTTATTTTTTGAGTTAAAAAAAAAAAAAAAGACATACCATATTCAAAAGGATTCCAGATTCTTGCTGCCGGCATCCTTTACGTTGTTTGGTAGTGTTAGACACTTGATTTGCAAAAGCAAGCAAGTCTTCCACAGTCCCATATTTGACACATGACATCAAAGAAACTTCCCTTTCACAAAACAGTAAAGATTCTGCACGCTCTTCATTTTGATTTGCCTCTTCACACATTGTAATTATGCTGTCTTCATAAACTGCAAGGTCCCCATCTGGATAAAGGTTTTCCATGATGTCTATCACCTCAGACATATTTAAATTAGTCAGCAACAATTCAATTTCCTCTTTGCTATCACTACCAGTGCTCATATACTCCATTACTGTCTGCTTTGCAAAACCACTCCTGAAAAAAAAAGAAACAAACAAACCTGAAATCACTTCATCTAAAGTTGTTTCAACAGAGTAAGAATAAAAGCTCATTATTATATGGTTAGATTTAAAATTAGTACGTTGTATTATGCAAAAAGTCATGATTAGTAGACTGGGTGAAGAGGAGACAGAGAAAACAAAGTCTTTATTAGTGGAATTTTGTTTGAAAGTTGTTAGTGAACACTCCAAATCACTCACTCTTGGAATTCTCTTCATCAAAGATTTTTGTTACGGGTGCTGGCACAACAAGGAAGCGTGAACTAGTTATATTTTGCTGCACTATGCAAAAATGAAGAGGTATCCTTAATATAGATGAGCTTATATAGAAAGCAATGAAACAGGAGAAAAAACAAGGTTTTATGTCCTCACAAACTAATAACTTTTGCTCTAAGAGTGCATTCATCATTTTGAAATGGATGACAGAGATGTAAGTGTACCATACAAATTCATCCCCAAATGTTCTTGAGCAACTTATGTGATGTGCCCCCAAAGAGGAGAAAGTCATGGAGCAAGACCATTACAGCAGCAAAAAGCATCTGTTAGTATCATTGTGCAATGCACAAATGAGATACTGAAATACAGCTGAAATACTCCACCCGTTTTGAGATGACATTACTGACCAGAACTAGACTTCGACTGAAATTTTCACTCATTTAAGAAGAAAATCAGAAATGGACTGATCGTAAGAGCAATGAGCTTTTGAAGCAGTTTCCAGAAGTTTGTTCTGTCCTCACTATTTCTAACAATAACTTTTAAGATAGATCTTGACCATTTTCTTAAAGAGGACTTTAATGACAGGACGCTGGATTCAGTGTCCCAAGAAGTCCCCTCCCATACCAGGTTCCTAACGTGAGCCAGACAGAGTTTTTGTATTCAAGTTAAAAACATATATGCATAGTCAATCATTAAAATACTTATACAAATAGTTTTCAACATGCAAATTTCAGTGAATGCTTACCTTATATTTATCCTGGTTACATCACACAAAACCATCAAAAACGTCTCAATGTAATGCCTCAAGCTGCCATGTATCTTGAACCTGTGTTTATCACTGATGACAATTTCACAGCGTTCTGTAGCAGTCTATTAAAAAAGTAAAATAAAGTAAAGTAATGGCAGACCTGCTCAAGCAGAAGGACCGGCCTCTACTCATATGACATTTGCTTCACAGGCTTCATGGAAAGAAAAATTAATAGTCACAGCGCTGAGAAAATAGGGGATTTTTTTTTGCAGAAAGAAAAAAAAAAAAGACAGCTCAAACAAGAATCAAGCAATTGTATGAACATCCAGATTTCCAAGTAGTGGGGAAAAATAAGTTTTCCATGGTAAGCTTCTGAGTTTTATTCTCTCTGCCTAATGCTTGCAAGTAACAAAGAAGAATCTCCTTTTCCTCTGGCAGAACCGAGTAGAACACATCCTATTTACAGAGCTCTCACTTCCTATTTTCATAATCCACTGTGAACACCTATTTTGTGCAAAAGATAACAGCCAGAAAAAAAAGATACTTTAAGAAAAGGAAAGAAAGAAAGAAAGAGAGAAAGAAGCACAGTCTAGCTATCTCAAGGACAAATAGCAGACTCAGTCCGCTGGGGCCACAAAGCAGTGCCGTTTACTTAGGTGCAGTCCCTGGTTTTGATTACTATCTTCCTTACCCTCCCCACAAGGACGTGGAACCTTTGCGGTACATATTTCTCATGGGTTAGAGTATTTACGTCAGCTCTAACGTTGAAGAAAAGCGAGTAAAATGACGTGGCTGACCTGGCAAAGAAATTCAGATCGTGCGCGGCAAGTTCGAAAGGCAGGGCAGGAAAACTGCAGACACAGCCCACGACCAGGCATGTCAAGTACCTGGTGCCCCTTCCAAGCCCTGCGGCAACAGCATCGGGGTAGCACCATGCCCCCACCGTCCCTCCGGACGGACGTGGTTAATGAGTTTCACCAGCACTCACCCATACCAGTTCACCCATCATCAAGTGAATGCAACAATACCCATAGCTTTAGGGAAGTGGGAGTACAAAAATTTGTGGTCATTAGCACTAATTTAGCGGAATTTGTATTTGGGGTAGTGAGAGGGGTCAGGTCTTTTCAAGCTGCACAACAAGAAATAACAGAAGCAAAGGCTGTTTTCTAATCTCCAGCATCCCACCTTCCTGCTCTATCCCCAAATTAGAGGCTGTTAGAAAGTGTTTACTCTTTATAAAGGAGATTTATATCTTTCTCCATAGCAGGGCTTTTATTGGTTGCTTTTTGATGCTGCATTCACGGGGGTGGAGGGAAAAGAAACACTCAATCCAGCCATAAGAGGAACTGAGAGACTACATGAGAAAAGTAAGGTAAGTTAGAAACAAGTCCTAAGGGACTTTCTGAGAAAGAATACGAGCCTGCAGAAGTTCTGGTCCTTCTTGGATATAGTCAGGTCAACAACATGCTTAAATAACTCACTTTTTAATAGCATCTTCATGCATTAAAAAATTGTATGGTTTCGACCAAACACAGCTTTCCACCAGTGCCAATTCTGCTTTGTTCCTCGAAATGTTCCCGAACTGCACCGTGTTCCTAATATTATTCTCAACAGGTGCACTACTACCCACAAAGGTCTGAACAACTAGAAGAAAGTTATTACAACCAGCTTATTCTCAGTTTTATGCCTTTAGTGCTCGAGAACAGCTGCAAACTGTTCATTTTCCCGCATCTAGTAAATTCCAGATACCAAATGCTTACATAATGAGACCAGTTTCTAGACTCTGTAAATCTGATCTTTTTTAAATTATGCAGCAACTTATAGGTTACATTTCCACCACTGGCAAAGGTTGTCCATTTGCTAGCAGTGAATTCGTTCTCCCTTTCCTCCCTAGAATTCTGTCCTAGGACCTGTACCGGGCACTCACATAACGCTCCAAATCATTCTATACAATCCAAGTGACTGAAGACTTTAAGTGACTAAGTCCTCAATGAAAAATTTCTTTTTACCTACAGTGGAAAAAGAAAACTAAATGTAAGCACTTAAAAACTTGATAAAGCACAAGACTTCTTCTCCACTGCTGTCATCATTTCAACATCATCACATGAGCAATCAGCATGCGAGGAGTTTATTTCTCTATTTGTCATGAGTAGCTAGCTTTTCCCTGAAAAGCCTTTTCCTGAGGAGAGCATTGCTTGAAAATGTCTTTATGTGTCATACTAAAGGGCATAAGGTTGACCGGACAGTCCATTCCTCTGAGCTCCTGCAGCATTTTTTTCTGTGTCAAGAGTAAAAAAACTAAATAAGTAAATCTGCACAGACTGGCTCAATACAATCACACACCTATACAAAGATTTCTTGTATTGTCTTTAATAATTTTCTGGTCTGATTGCATGCAGTTAACCATCAGTGGTGGACAAAAATCTATACTTGTTTTTAAGAAAACCTATTGATAGACCTTGAAAAACATTATTCCATTCAAAAAAACTGCTTTAAGTTACAAAAAAATTCAACAATTTCCATTTCTACATAATTTCACACTTTCACTGGGGGTGGGGAGTGGCCTTCTCATGCTTACAGCGGCTAAAAGTTTATCTCCAATACAAACCAATACACTGATCTCCTTTTCGGTCTGCAGATACAGAACCAGTTAAACTAGGGAGGAGAACAGGTGCTAGAGATTGTATGATTTTAGCAGCAAATACCATGCTGTTCAGGAGGCTGTCAGCAACCGGGAAACTGCCCACCTAAAACCTTGTGAATCTTGATCTACCGTCTGACAAACAGCAAGCTGGAAGACAAGCGGCAGAGGAGAAGAGAGGAGGAAGAGCGCGCCGTCCCGAAGCAGCAGCCGGCCGGGCAACCCCAGCACCCTCCCAGCCACATCTCCCTTGCATCACTGCAGGCAGCTGGCAGTGCCAGCACCTTTCCCAGCTCCTAGAGCTGCTCCTAGCAGCAGGGCAGGCTATTTCCCAATGCCCAGGCCACACGCCAGCTGCCACCGCTGAACTCACAGCGATGGGGCCCCGACCCGTCCGACGCGTCTTTATCCCATACCGCACACGGGGGAACGCGCTCCCACGCGAGCCCGATTTCCTACACCAACTACAGCCCCAGTTCTCTGCCTCCTTGATACAGGGTCACTGAGCTATACATACAGCAGTAGCACTGTGGTCCCTTTCAGGAGAACAAGTATTAAAGCACTAGAATCGGGTTAAGCTGCATTTTAGAGGGAAGCACTCTGCAGTTCACAGGGCAGGCTCAGAGCTGAGCTCGGCCGCGAGCTGAAAAGGGGCCGGGGCTCAGCGCGAACAGCGCCTTAACTCGCTCCACGCAAACTGCAGGCTCGTCACTAAGCAATATTGAAAAGTGATATTTCCTAAAGACACCCCCCTCCCGCCCAAAAAAGAGTATTTTCTTCCTCAAATCCCCATCCAACCCCTAAGCACGCAGCGGAGGGCTGCCGCGGTGAGAGGGGCCCCGCCGGGCCGGAAAAGTGGGAGGGGGGACCC